TTTTTTTTTTTTTTTTTTTTTTTTTTTTTTTTTTTTGTATCAGAGATTCAACCTTGTGCTTGCAAGGCATGTGGTGGCACCACTGAGCTAAATCCCCAGACAGGGAGTGGGATTTTTGTACAAAGCCCTTGGGGTAGCATCCTAGAATACCATTTCCCTCGTTCCTCTGTCCCCTCAAAAAGCCTAGATAACAGAAGGAACTCAGCAAATGGCACACATGTTGTTCTCCGGTTTCACACTGGAAGAGGAAAACTGACTTTTATTCAATGAGGTGGCCAGGGTCTGCAATCCCCTCTGCTGCAGTGGGCACCGCTGCCATGATGCCTTTCTGGAAATCTTCGCCCCGATCAAAGCCTGTCTTGAAGGGCATCTCCTGGACACACGGCCCGAGCCCCGGTAAGGCTGCTCTGCATGCTGAACCAACCACATTCGGCCCAAAGCTTCTGCTGAGAATCGTACCCATTCAAGATTTCAAGTTGAGTCTGGCCCAAATCAGATACCTAAACCCCTAAGCTTACTGAAGGTCCCCCGACTTTCTTCCATCTTAGAACACCATCCCCCTAGCATCTCTTGTGACCGACATCTGGCCGCTTACCGCCCAGACTCCCTCTGGGCTCACCGCTGGTCAGCAGGGGGATGGCACAGCTGGGCCTGCATCTGACCAAGAAGAAACTGGCTGTGCAACACACAAGTCCTAAGCCTCCCAGGAGTGGCCCGAAGCACAGCAGAGTGGGAAAGGGCCTCGGAGATTGTACATCACCCCTCCCGAAGACGGTCAGAAAGGGGAGGGCTAGATAGGCACGGTGGCGCACACCTGCAATCCCAGCACTTGGGAGGCTGAGGCAGGAAGGTCATCCCAAACTCAAGGCTAGCCTTGCTGCATAGTGAGTTCAAGACCAGCCTGAAGTAGTAGAGACACGCTGCCTCAGAGGTGGGGGAGAATCAAGCACACACAGACTCACCACATGCACCAAGGAAGGGCAGGTGGGGAGGTGACCAGGGGCTGAGAGGTGGGAACGGAACAACTCACAGAGGATGTCCCTACAGGGAACAGAGACAGCAGTACGTGTGACAGGGGTGATGTGGCTGTTGGTGTCAGACCTGGGGCTGAGGGTCTGGTTCTGCCACTTATGAGCTCAGGGGCCTTGGGTGAGTGACATCACCCCAAGTTTTAGTTCTGCCCCTCTGTGTACAGGAACAACAGCCCTCAGCTCCCAGGGAGGGGCGAGGTGACCCACACCAACTCTCAGCTCAGGGCCCTGGCCGTTTCTAGTCACCCATCACAGAACGGTCACACTGCCCACAGCTGGGTGCCTCCACTCCTCTGAGCCCCCCGGGTGCCCTGAGAGGTGGGGAGGGGTCTTCTCACTTCCCCCATTTTACAGATGAGGCCCTGATCTGACTGCACCTGGTCTGTTGGAGACCACAGTGCAATGTCCCTGCCTCTTGCATTCAGTGCCTCCCCACCCTGTGTGCATCGTGTGGAATACAGGGTGATGCTGAGGGCTGAGCTCAGTAAGTGGAGGCCACGTGGCACCCCTTCTCAGAGGGGACAGGGAGATTGAGGCCACCATGCTCTGGCCCCTGAGGAGGACCTGGAAGGCAGGAGGGAAACTGCACACGACCTTCGTTCCTGAGTCCCTCCGCCCCTCGCCCCTCGGCGTTCTCACGGGGCACACCCTCCTGGGTGGGGCCATTGCCTTCTGCAAGCTGAGCTGAGCAGCTGTAAGCAGCAAGGTGGAGAGAGGAACAGGCAGCTTCCTCCAAGAGCAGGAGCCGGAGAAGAATCGCACTGCCCCCACTTTCTTGGGAGATGGATTCTCAGGACCTGCATGACATTAGCTTCTTTGCTGACTCAATCCTCTGAAATGCAGCTCCTTTCACCCAGCTGATGACAGGGGCAGTTGGTGAGGCCAGGGGTCTGCCCCCGGAGCTGGTGGAGCCCCGTGAGTCAGGTGTGAAGCCAGCCCGAGCATCTGCACTCCCTCCAGCAGCCGGCTGCCTGCCATTTCCTCCTCTCCCATCCTTATTTGGAGCCCTTGACAGCTGAGCCGCAAACAGACCGGGAGCTGGGCGCCGGCCAGCCTCACCCTCTGCTTCCCCGCGTGGGTCCCATTGCCCAGGAGAAAGAATCCTGCAGCATGGTGGAGCTAAGATAACCAAGGACTCTTTTTGCTCTTCTCACACCTTTGAAGTGGGAGCCTCTTGAGGCAAATCAGCAAGAATGTGGCTCTTGCAGTGAGGGTCTGGGGGGCTGCTGGGGCTGCCCAAGGCGGAGGGGCTATGACAAGCTCCGCTGGACTGATAACTTTAAAAGGGCATCTTCTCCTGTCTACTCACGGTGCCGCTTTATCGCTGCAAGTGACACAACGGGGAGGGTTCTAGCCCTCCTGCGCTCCCCAAGAGCTGGGGGGCTATAAAAACAGGAGGCCCTGGGCAGCTGGGAGACAGTGACAGACAGAAGCTGAGAGGGAAGCCAGAGAGGACAGAGAAGACACAGCAAGCACCAGATCACTCCTTGACCGGCATCGGCATGGGCTCCTTCTCCACCCTCACCGTGAGCCTCCTCCTCTTCCTCGTCTTTCAGCTTCCAGGCCAAGCCCAAGCCAACCCCGTGTACAATGGTGTGTCGAATGCAGACCTGATGGATCTCAAGGTAGGGCCGGGGAGATGGGCATAGCCTGGAGCCGGCAGGCTTCCCCAACTGGGTCCATTCCTCTTAGTCAACAGGACCTCTCCCTCCCCCTGTGTTTTCCTTCTGTAAAGAATTTGCTGGACCACCTGGAGGAGAAGATGCCTTTAGAAGAGGAGGTGATGCCCCAAGTCCCAAGGGAGCAGAACGACGAAGCGGGGGCCGTCCTGAGTGTCCTCCCTGAGGCACCTTCCTGGACTGGGGAGGCCAACCCGGTGCCAAGGGATGGAGGTGCCCTTGGGCGAGGCCCCTGGGATTCCCCCGATAGATCTGCCCTCCTGAAAGGCAAGCTGCGGGCGCTGCTCACTGCCCCTCGGAGCCTGCGGAGATCCAGCTGCTTTGGGGGCAGGATCGACAGGATTGGAACACAGAGCGGCCTGGGCTGCAACAGCTTCCGGGTAAGAGATGGGGATGGGAATGGGGGTGGGGGGGAGGAAGTTGTGGTTTCACTGAGATTCAAATCTTGCCAAAGACTACAACTAGAATACGCACCTGGCAGAAAGGGAGCAGCGCGGAGGCGTTTCCTCCTGGGATCCTGGCCCCAACCCGGCATGTGTCCCCTAAGTCTCAGGACAGCGCTGTCAGTTCACCTACCACCAGGGCAGAGAAAGTGCTTTGAAAGAATTCCTGCCTCCAGCACTGGGAAATCAAGGTGCTCACAGGCCAAGCCATCTTTGCTCTGTTGACTGGCAGTTCGCATCCCTCTCCACGAAGGCCAGGTCCTGCAGGAGTTCAGGGCCATCAATGAGGACTGCCCTTCTTGGCTCTAACTCGGGAACTGAGACTCTGAGGGTCACCAGACTGCAGGGGGGCCGGTGGGACACTGGGCCAGGTGCCCAGCACTGTCCTACGAAGCTGACTTTTCCTGTAGGGCCAGGTCACCAAGCCAAATATATTTTTCTCTTCATAGTACCGAAGATAACAGCCAGGGAAGAAAAGGTCGGCCAGGCCCTGGGGGCAGATGGCAAGAGACCCTCCTCCCCTGGGGGGGTCTCCCTCATGAGGTCTCCTTCCTGTCACTGTCCTCGGGCTGTGAAGAGCACGGAGCTGGAGCTGCCGATTTCTGACGTTGTGCGCTACATGTAGACAAAGTGGTTTCATTATGGTTTTCCCACCTCGCCCACCCCATGCGCTACCGTAGAGCCTCTCACCTATTACTGACAGCAGTTGGCAAAAATGAATAAATTTCAGCACCACGGACAGAAGCCAGAGCCGGACTCCTGTGATTTCTTTCCCTGGTCATTTCACCCTTTGTAAGAGAAGAGAATGCTTGGCTTTTTTCTTGTTCCTTTCTCTCCCTCTATTTTATTTGTGTTTTCATGGGGGTGGGGTGGCTTCAAATTATAGTCCTCTACCTCCTCTGTCTTATGCTCCAGCCTGTTATTGAGCTCCAAAAGGCCCTCGAAGACCGGAAGGGCATTTATTTTTATCCAGATTTGTTTATTTAGGGCTCTTGTTTACTGAAATCTCACAAACATCTGGACTTATTTTCCTGCCTCTAGCAGGGTCGCAAGTAGTCAGTAGACAGCATTCCTAGTGCTTTTCAGTTAGCGCTTGTGTTTTCACAAAACGAGGGCATTAAAAGGACTTTCTCCGATCCATTTGAATTACCTGCTGGATCCAGAGAATTGCACTTTTGGTGTGGACATGTCAGCGGAGTGAGGGTTTTAAAAGCTGAGCAAAGAGAAGAAAGGTTTACTAGGCCGACAAGCCACAAGGTCGTGGGCTTTGGCATCTACCACACTTGTTCATTAATTTATTAATTTTGCAGTGCTGGGGATCAATCCCAGGGAACCACATGCACTTGGAAAATAGTCACAGCCTTTCCCTGATCCCACCCCAGGTGCCTCGACTTGCTGGTGGTACTGAGGTGTTTGCCACTTGGGAAGAGGCAGTATTTTTGTATCTACTTTAGCAGGGGGAGCTGTCCTGAGCAGAAAATGCCAGGCACTAAGTTCCCCTTGAATTTGTACCAGTAAAAATCAATCATTTCTTAATGGTTACAACCGCTTGCTGTGTATGGGAGCATCTGTGTCTGTTCCTAGACCGTGAGCCCTTGGGGCCCTGGGCCGTCCCACTCACAGCCAGTGCCCCATAACCACTGCCCACACCGCCTTGGTGCTGTGCAAAAATGAGGGAAAAAGGAAACCAAGCAGCAAGTTGCCCCTTGTAGAGGGTAGAGGGGGCCAGAAGTGACCAGTAGTAAGGGGCTGGAGGTGAGGGAAGAACTCGAATCATTTATAATCTAAATGTTCTTTATATGGAAGGGCAGACAACCCAGGAGAATGACGCAAAGGACCTGGGTGACGGGGAGGTGTCTGTGCTAACCTGGTCCCTGAGGTTTGTCCTGTGGAGTCCGAATTACTGAGGGTCAGAATGGCAGCTGGGCACACTGCCGAACTGCTGCTCCAACGCAGGGTTCTCACTGAGTGGAAATGACAGAGCACACAGGCAGAAAATGCCCCTCGAGCTTGGAGGAAAGGTGGGGCCAGGTGGAGGAGCTGCCAGACTGCAGCTCGTGAAATAGCAAGAGAAATATTTCCTGCAAAACAAAAAACAAATGAACAGGCAGTGACAGAAGCTGGTCACATCTGAAGACCTGGCATCGATTCTGGGCGAACCCCTAAACACAGCGCCGCCAGGAAACCAAGTGGAGGGTCCCCTCTGGCACTGGCAGGAGGAAAGGAAAGATGAGGGACCCACACGGACCAGTGCGCATCAGAGGGGAGAAAGAACCCATGGTGAGCTGGTGGCTGTGGGAAAGACCCACAGAACCGAGCCGGGCATGGTGGCGCACAGCAGTGACCCCAGCTCGCAGGAGGCAGTGGGTGGAGGCCCGCAGGGAGTTCAAGGCCAGCCGGAATCACAGAGCAAGACCCAGTGGCAGGAGTCCTTACAACTACTAGAGAAGGTAGAAAAAAAACCAAGTACCCCTCGAAGAAAGCACTGTGCAGACAAAGGTTAAAGGAGACGTGCAGACACTTTATTCTGACGTGTCATCATGAGAACGTCCAAGTTCCGAGAGTTCAAATAAAAATAGAATTTTACAAATTAAAAAAAATACAATTTATATACACAGTGGGATTAGCTAACTTTACCATATAAACGAACAGTGCAGGCAGAGAGGAAGCTGCGCGGTGGAAATGACTGAGGTCCGAGGAGCAGAGGGCCACACTGGGGCCGCACGGCCTTTCCTGGAGCTCTCTTGTCCCCGAGGCCATGTCAGTGCGCCATTCTGCACCAGAACTGTTACACGTGCGGCTGGGTCCAGTGGGTGTGCCGTCTGGCCCAGAGCTGTTAGTCTAACAAGGCCGCGAGCGGATCTCCCCCGGACAGTCTCCTCCGCCAGGCCTGGGTCCCAGCTCCCAGTGCCACTTTCGGGTCCCCGGACACAGCGATCCAGAGACAGCACACAGAAAACCACCTCCAGCCGACCTGACTCTCCTCTGTGGATGTGGTTTTTCCAGGTGCCGTGGCACTGGGGGTTGGGAGAGCAGCTGGACAGGAAGCAGGGAGTGAGGTGCAGTCACAGGTCATGAGTGGAGGAGGGGTCGTCTCTGGGCTTTTCTGGGAAGGGCAGGGAGGAGTGCGGTGAGGCTGGCTCAGGTCCCCCTTGGTGGTCATCCAGTCGCTGCAGGGAGGGGCACTTGCATTCTGCCGTCTATTTCTGGGCTAAACTGGTGGTGACTCAAACACAACAGGATATGCACGAGGGACACATTCCAACAACGCTCGCCTGGGCAGCCACGAGGCAGGTGGCTGGCGGCCTTGCCCTCTCAAAGCCAGCGTCTGAGCTGGGACTTTGCTCTGCCTATCTGTGAGAGTGGGGAAGAGGGGAGGAAGTCACACCACTCGCCTGGCTTATGCAACTGTTTCCTTTTTAATTCTGCAGTACTGAGGGTGGAACCCAAGGTCTTGAATATGCTAGGCAGGTGCTCTACCACTGAGCTGCACCACCAGCCCTTCTCCTTTGTTTGTTTTTTGAGACAGGGTCTCACTATGTAGTTGAGACTGACCAGGAACTCACTATGTAGCCCAGGCTGGTCTCGAACTCACAGCGATCCTCCTGCTTCAGCCTCCCGAGTGCTGGGATTACAGGCATGTGCCACCATGGCCAGCTCCTTCTCCTTTGTTTTTAAAGTAAAGTCTTGCTAAATTGCCCAAGCTGGCTTTGAGCTCTCCATCCTCCTGCTTCAGCCTCCAGAAGAGCTGGGATTAAAGGCACGCTACCGTGCCTGGCAACTGGTTTCCTTCTTTATAAAATGAAGAGGTGATGTAGTCAAGCTCCGAATGCTGCCATAAAATGAAGCAGCAGCTAGCTGAACACAAACCCATGAACAGGGTTATGATGTCCTGAGCTATCTGTTGGGAGTATCGCCCCAACTCACAAGTCAGGAGCATCTAGAGAAGCTGCAAAATGTATAAATCAGAGTCATTTTGGTCAAAAAGATAAGCAGGATGGGAGGCAGGACCACAGGCACCCAGAAGCTCCCCTCTACGCCTGTGGATGATTCCCTGGGGTGCACTGAGCTCAAGGTGCCCACTGACCTGGCCAGGTTTGATCCCGAGCTTGGGCTGCAAGAAGCCAAGCCCAGGCCGAAGCCAGAGGAGACTTCATGGGTTAAAAACACTAAATGCAAATGCTGCCATCTGAGACACCAGAACAAGAGCCGTGGGGACAGCCAATGGGAGCTCTGCTGACACCCACACTGGAGGAAGAGGAGTGCAAAAGCCCTTCCCAGGATCACCCAGGCGCATGCTCAGAAGGGACCTCAGCCCGAGAAGGATGCCACTGAGACCTGGCAGGGGCTGGGGTGTGTGAATCTCCTGCGCTGTGCTAAGCCCCAAGCCCCCCTCCACCCAGCACCAGCGGCACTGCAGATGCCGCTGAAGTTCCTGTCTCTGAGCCCCTGGGAGGACAGGGCAGTGGCCAGCAAGTGAGAGATGGCTGTGAGGGGAGACAATTCCTCCTGGAAGAAGCTACTGCTTTTCCCTACATGACCCTTTGAGCGACCTGACCCTGGATGAACTCCCTACCAGCTAGCTCATAAGATGGTCTTGTTCCCTGGGGCTCAGGGAAGTGCTTCTGCCTCAGGCCGCCCTGCTTCCAGGTAACTCTGGAAGGCTGAGCTGTGCGCCATGGCTGTCTCCCAGCAAGACAGAAACACAAACTGGGGAGGGGTCCGTCTCAGAGACGAGGGGTGGGGCGGGTGGGGAGACGGCAGTCTGACCCTGCTACTGATTTCTCGCTTGCAGATGATCCCTGGGACTTAAACGCTCTGCGCCCTGCAGGGCGGGATCCAAGGAGACTTGGACACAGGCTTGCCCCAGGAAGCATGCGTGTCCCTCTGGATGACCTGGAGGAGGCGAGAGTCCGGGGAAGGCGGCCTCCCCGAGGGGAAGCTTCTCCATATCCAGTCCCACACTTGGGGAGGAGCTTGACTCTGCTGGCCTCAGCCTGAGCCCCTGCTGGAGTGGTGAAGGCACAGCTGAGCTCCCCTGAGAAAGCAGAAAGGGGCTGGGGGGCTGGGGGGGCTGTGCCAACACCGGGTGTGGGAACACAGGGAGCACGGGACGGGTACTTGCTGAGAAGTTCAGAGAAGTCCCAACTCTGACAGTTCAACACCCTTCCCAGCGCCTCTGAACAGCAAGTGCCCAACGATTCCAGGCTTTCCGAGCATGCGGGCTCCTGGGAACCTTCGTGCCCTGGGACAGTGCAGTTGGCAGCGGCCACAGTGTGAGCCGAGAGCAGTGGGTGGGCATCAGAGGGTCTGGTAGTGCTGCCGCAGCCGTGCCTGCAGGAACTCATGTGTCAGGTTGTGCCGCGTGATGATCCCCACGATCTGGGACAAGGAGGAAAGTCTGTGTCACCTGAAGGACGGACCTGCTGGCCAGAAAGGGCCTGACCAGTCGGTCTGTCACAGGATGCGGCTGGCGGGAGAGGGAGTCGGGGCCGGGAAGCCTCGCCAACTGGCTCCATACGAGGGGCGGACAGGGACCAGGCAGCCAGGCTCAGAAGTAGGAGGCACAGCTCCCGGCAGGGTCTCAGAGGGCCCAGCTCACACCTGACTGGCAGGCGCGGCTTTAACAGAGGACCAGCTGCTGCTATCATCCTCACCACACCCTGCTCACCTCACCAGTGTTTGCAAGAGGCAGGGACCCCGAGGCTTCAGAGCCTGTGCACTGGACGCCTCACTGTCCTCGTCATGGACAGCTACTCCTGAAAGTTGTTTTGCACCGTTCCTTACGGGAGTGCCCGTCACTGATGGCGGGGCCCACAGCCACAGCGCAAACCGTTTTATCCCAAGGAACACGCAACTTCACCTACTACACTAAGCTCACATCACAGCATGCTGTGTGGGGGTCACCTGTGCGACACCTCCCTTGACAGGGCCTCTTGCTAGACCATCTGGTGACACGTACCGGAAGCCTCCAAAAGGGAGGCCCGAGACAACACCATGGGGCCGTGGGTGCAGCTCTGTGCCAGGGCCCTTGCCTAGCAGCATGCGGCCTTTGGTTCCATCCACAGCTCCACAGATGAAAAAAAGAAAAGCTAACACCGCTGGCGGAGGTTTCCTGCTGAGGAGTCATTTCCCAGAGTGAAAAAATGGCCTAAAACTGGACATGAGCTCGCTGGACGCAAAGGACTGAAAGGCTGATGTGGACCTACGCAGGGCAGGGGTGAGGGCTTGATTGTTTGACCATCTGTTTTCTTAATGAAAAGAACAGTAGTTGTATAATAAGAGGAAAATGAATTTCAAAAAAATAGCAGAAAGCCTACTGGGTGTCCGGTGTCCTATCTTTTAAAATGCTCTGGTGTCTTGCTTGAAGCGCTCTCATCTACTCTTCCCAGTCCCCATGACAGGAGGAAAGTGAGGAACACAGGTGGAGGTTGCAGGGAAGGAAAGCAGTGGCCGCGTGGCGACAGGGATGCTTTCGGCCAGTCTGAGGTGGGAAGGGCACCGTGGTGCCATCTGCTGGCCATGGGCACAGGAATGAGGTGGCACAGAGCGAAGGTTCAGAGCCCAGCTGCCAGGCTGGCTGTGCTGGACGGGGACCCCACCGCACCTGGCCGAGGGTGCTTTTCTCAAAGGTGGGTGTGCAGACCACGGTGGCACGGCCCCCGGGTTCTGCAGGACTCACCTCCCCGACTGCATTCACCACGGGCAGGTGGCGCAGGCCCATTGTTCTGAACAGGTTGAAGACTTGGGACACGTGGGTGTTGGGGGACACGGTGAAGGGCGAAGGGTTCATGTATGGGGTGACATCCTGTAAAGGGACAGTGAGAGTCACCTGCAGCCTGGATGCAAGTGACAGGACCAGGCAGCGTGTGCACAGGGCCAGCCCCTCACCACGATCATCCGCGGGTTGAGCAGCGTGAGGTCCAGGTCGTGGATGTCTGGGTACCGCGGGTAATCCTCGGCCATCTCGGCGTAGGACAGGCGCGGCTGGCTGGCACTCTGCAATTCCAACCAAGACAGGGTCCTCTGCCGGGGCCACAAAGACCCCTGTCCCTCTGACCCAAAGGGCAGGGTACAGAACAGAGCCCCAGCAGCTGCTTTGCAGCCAAAGCCGGTTCTGGTCGACTTCTAGCTGGTCACCCTTGCACTCGCTAACTTCCTTTCCTGCAGCTGTGACCCCGAAATGGGTCTTCCGAGATTTAATGAGACAGTGTTAGTGGGCGGGGGCAGCGGGGCTGCAGTGTGTCCCCAGGTGCCCAGGCTCTAGGCCTGTGCCAACACATGTGATAGGGTTAAGACGAGGTCACGCTGCACGAGGGTGGCCCCAAATCCCATGACAGATGTCATCACAAAACAGGGAGAATGCGAGTGACAACTGAGGCAGAACTGCAGTGATGCAGCTATGGGTAAAGAACGCCGAGCGCTACAGATGCCACAGGAAGTAGGCAGAGGCAGGCTGATTCTGCCCAGAACCCTCAGAGAGAACAGGACCCTGCCGCCACCTGCACTTTGTACTTCTGGACTTGAACTCTGAAAGCCACAGGGTTTATGACAATTTGAAGCAGCACCACAGGACAGAAACGCACAAGCTCTGTCACTGTTCTTCACTCCAGTCTCTGAGGTTTCTGTTCATTCTCACCACTGCCCATGGACAGGGAACCGGCACCATGGGCTCCCAGGCTGGGCACAGGGGCCACAGGCGCTGGCCACTACCCTGTCCCAACTCCACCCTGCACAGCCCTGAACAGAGCTGTCCCTGTCGCACTGGTCCACAGCCTACTGGACCCTTGCCTTCATGGGGCCAGGCTGGGCCGGGCCCTGCAGGATCCAACCTGTGTCACCCCTCCACCCCCACTAGAGCCTCCGCCCCTCAAGGCCAGGCCTCCCCAGAAGAGCCAATCGGGAGCAGGGCTCAGGCAGCCGTCTCAGCCTCCCAGAGACAGAGTGTGCCAGGGGATGGTCTCAAGTGGCCCAGGGGCTACTGTGAACAACACCCCAACACCAAATGGAAAAAGCATTACGGTGGGGCTGATGGGAAGGGTGGTATAAAGAAGTTCACATGCACAGGCAATTAAAATACAGAAGCGGTGGAGCCGGGCGTGGTGGCGCATGCCTGTAATCCCAGCACTCCGGAGGC